TCACCTCTTTTTCTTGTATTCTGCTTATTGTTGTAAACCCAATGCATTCTCAGGCTGCGAGACGACTCGAGCTTCAGCTCAAACGGGCTGAACATGTAGACTTACTCCGCATTTCATCATTGTTAGGGCAGTGACTGCAAATTTGATTCATACATACAGGCTGTACAGCCCAGCCTCATCACAGTAAAGTCTGTTGCATACCCACATAAGTACTCGTCGCCTGCCGCGCTCTGCGACGGCCCATCCCCACCAAGTAAATCCAACCTAAATAATTAGGTCAAGAACTGGCTTCCTTTACATCCACGCCAGCCTCCAAAAGCGAGTTCTCCTTACCGCCCACGGCCAGAGCGTCCGGTCTGCCAAACGCATACCGTCCCCCCTCGCTCAAGACGGGCCCATACTTCAATCTGATGCGTCCCGGCTCGCTCAAATTCAGCTCGTTGAGCTCGGGGTTGCGCGTCGCAGCCAAGAAGTCGCCAAAGTTGCTCCCTGTTGCGCCGCCGAACGCCTTGTTCTGGAAGAGCGCGATGGTTCCGAAGACGTCGCACAGGAGCGCGACACCGAGGCCGAGCCCATAGGTGAGCCACAGCCGGCGCTTGTTGTACACGAAGCGTGTGCCGTCATTGCTGTAGATGCAGGTGGTGGTCATAGACTGCGCGCGGTCGGCCGCACCCCCGAGGATCGAGAGGGTGATGTTTTGCAGGAGTGACTCGAAGATGGGTGGGATGTCCTCGATGGGAATCCAGGTGAATTTCTGGGCGACGCCGGCGAAGAGGGCGGTGGCGGTTGTCTCCATCATCTGCGTCTGGCCGAGCCGGAGGGTGTCTGAAGTATAGGTGAAAGAGATGACGGGAAGTGTTTGGACTGTCACACTGCCTATGGCGTAGGCAGAAATGCTAGCGAGGACAGCGTTATAGCTCGCCGTGGCATTGTACCACGCTGTGTGGGGTAGGGAGGTAGGCTGACCAGGGGCTCTAGCCTGCACACTGATGTTGGGAGTCTGGCCAGCGAGCTGTTGCGGGATGATGTTGTCGATGACAACAGAGGCGGTGGTGCCAGCAAACGTGTAGTTTGTGCTGTATGTCGAATTGTACGCAATGCAAGTGATGTTGTGTCCGCTGTCATCGGGACCAGCGCCGGTATAATTGTTGTAGTGCGCCTGAAAATCCCAATTCGCGAACGGAGTCTCGGTGCTCGGTGCCGTGATGTCTGTCTGCTCGGCGAAGTAGGGGGGAGGAAATAATAACGGCGCCGAGTCAGCTTGTGCGGAATTCCAATTCAGGGCGGATGGGTTCTGTGCACCCACTGAGCATGAATAAGATGGGCCGTAGGTGGACACGAGATATGAGCAGTTACGGCCGCAAGGAGACGACACAGGCAATGGTTGGCCCCCGAGAAGCGTGGCTCCAACGATGTGTTCTGTGAGCGAAGACGGATTGAAAAAAAAGTCGGACCCGGCGTCGATCACTATAAGTACAGAGGTAAATTCACATTTCGCCCCCAGGACAATGCAAAGTCGACGTACGGTCATACAGCAATTCAGTAGATGCCCAGTCAAATGTAGGGACTTGGCATGGGCCTGAGACGGCCGTAACATCGGGCTCAACGGTGAGCGTGCCCGGTGCGAAGGTGACAATGAGAGGAAAGGTCCACGCTAGAGCTGAGACGGCGACAATTCCCTGCGCCGTCCGCCAAAAGTCGAGAGACAGAAATGCAAACACATTCGTCAGCGAGGACCACATGGCGTTCAGGCCGGATATGGAGACGGCACGCTTGCGCGCGACTCTCCAAGCGCATTGGAGGAACGCGGTGCCAGCGGAGACGGCGAGCAATGATCTGACGAGGAAGGCGAAGGCGGTCCCGATGGCGGAGGCCCCCGCTTGGGAGTGCACTCGGAACGACGACGCGGTGGCGCCTGAAGATACGGGGTGGCCGTCGAGGGAGGCGTAGAAGGCGTGATGACCACCAGCCAGTGCGAGTGCTGAAACCCAGGCGAGAGCGATTTTCAAAAGCGGGATGTAGTGGCCGTGGGGGCTTTGAGAGGATGCTCCGAGTCGTTCCATGGAGGGAGTGGGAGAGAGCAAGGAGCGTGAGCGACGACGGCGCTTACTGTAAGACTAGCTGGCGAACTTTGAGCTGGAAGCACATGAAACAGAAGACTGAAGTTCACACCAACAAGTTGAACAACTGGATGCCATCCAATTACAGCACTCCTTTCCCATCGTCACTTCAAGAAGGGTTCCTCATCTAATTGTGCCGAACTCCCGATATCCAAGTTATCTTCTCGCTGTCCGTCTTCCGTGGCAGCCACGGTAGCCGATGGCGTGTGCGGGGCGTTTGCGGCGTGGTGTGGCTGGTAGGTCAGCGAGTCGGGCGAGCGGTTGATCTACAAGCGGATACATATGTGGTGCTTCCGGACTTGCAAGCTTTTATCCCGCACTCAGTAACCCAGAGTGAGAAGGAGCAATGTGCGCGGTAGGATGGATGTGGAAGATAACATCTTTTATGCGAGACACAAGGGGCTCCGGAGATAAGAAAAAAAGATATCACCTACAAAAGTTTTTTTCCAGAGGTTCGGTGACCCCTCCCCCCTTCCCCTCCTTCCATATCGGGAAGGTGGTTCCCACCCCTGGGCCGGACCGACGGGGCCGGCTGTCAAGAATGGATTGCAACTCCGTAAGTTACCATTGACGTCGGTCTCGCTGCCGAATGCTCTGGATGCAAACTGTGCATGCTGCTGCAGAGTTTGAAATTCCCTGTTAATGTCCGTTTAAGTTATTGAATATCACAGTATTAAACAAGTCAAGAGACACACTTTCTGTGTTTTTTCCTTTTTCACCATGAGGTGTTGTGTCTTGGGGCGCGTAACGGTGCAAGGTGCGTGTAAAATTTGTCACTGTTTTCCATGCCTGAGCCGTGGCCTCGGAGTGCTCCGAAGATCACTGATGGTTGATGGCGGCGGGCTCGGCGGCATTGGATGTCAACTGTACAGTGAAATTCATGTGTATTTCGAAGAATATAGTGACTATTGGCTACCTGGCTGGTCCACTGGGCAAACGATGCCATTTCAGGCCCGAAAACTTTTGACCTACAAAAGTTTTTTTTCAGGCCCTGCCAGACCCCCCCCTCCCCTAGCCGATGTCGGCTATTCTTATCTCCGAAGCCCCTTGGCGAGACATCATATTGTGGATCAGCATCATGATTTACTTAGGCGCTCACCGAAGCCAAGCCGGCCCGGCGCCAAGCCGGCGCCTAAGTGTCGGACCTCGGTGAAGCAGAGCGTCCTCACAGCGATCTCAACCACTGGCACCCGAGGAACAATCATAGACCCCCGTAGACCGAGGTGCAGATATGGAAGTTGTATGGAAGAAAACTTCCGCTTACTTACCTCAAGTTACTTTAACTTACTTACCACGCCCTGCGCCACGGCGTCTAACGAAGCGACATTGCCGTGGACTGCCGTAGCACTTCTTTCAGGCTGAACACCGTGTCCGAAATTTCGAATCCCTTCAACTGAATTCTTCTTCATCTTCTGCTGTTGAACAAGCCGGGGCCGAATTCATTTCGTTGGAATTCTGCTTGAGTTCTGCTTCCTTTCTTAACATGAAAACTAACGCCGCAGCCGCCCTGATAACTGGTTACTGCACGAGCCTGCAAGCTCGTTGACCCATTCGGTTACATGCACTGGCATGGCTTCCAAATAAAACGCCGGTTGCCAGTCTCCCGCCTTCCTCCACGGCCTCGAGTCACGGCGTCGGTGAGTGAATCAGTGATTATTATTCGGCCAAAGTTTCAAACGTCTCCTCGGATTTGTTGTGGTCATCGCTGCCTCGCGACATCTAGGAATACCTCCCAATAAGTCCAATTGTGGCTGCTGCATTCATTCCACAACACGACAGCCTGGGCACGGCGACACATCGGTCTTGTTCTGCCGTGATTTCCCTGACATGCGGCGTAAGTAAGTGTTCTATTCCGAGTCACAGCTGTGTTCACCAAATTCAAGTTTCCTGCTCACTGGAGTCCTTCGGCCGGTCACAACATCAGGAAAATCCCAAATTGCTATGGGCTCTATAGGCACCTACATAGACCTCCATAGACACTCATAGACGCCATAGCAACGTTGCTATGGCCGCTATAGCCTCTATGGCGTCTATGGTCTATGTGGAAGCCCATAGCAATTTGACTTTTTCCTGATGAAAAACCCAGCGCTATATTTCATCGGGCCCGTTTGATTTTACCAGTTTTTTTAGCCAGTTTCGACGCAGGAATTCGGAAACTTCGAATGAAGTAACTCGCTGCGTCATCTGACTCACCGCTCATCATTCACGTCTTGCATCGCTTTCGGCCAACTATTTGTCTTAGGGGAAGCAGAACCGATCTAGGAGTATGAGCCAGTGTGAGGCAATGCAAAGGCTAAGGGGCGCGAGGTACAAGTGACTCGGGAGAGTGCGGTGCGGGGCGCGCGGAACGGATATCGGAAGAATGTGAAACCGTGGGAACTGATTCGGCGATCTCGGTGATGCTTCTTTCGAACTCAGCGCGCGAGCGTGTGCGACAGCATGCACGAGGTGTGTAGGGTGTACGCATAGGACGTTGTGTGGGTGGAATAATACCATCCTTTTTCCGTCCGTCTTTGCTCTACTTAAACTCAGCTTTGTGCTTTGTATATCTTACTCTCTCGGCTCTCTCTTGTTCTTCAGCCCGGATCATCTATCGTGTTGTTCAGCTCGCTCGCGAAAGCGAAATGTACTTACATGTGAACCAATGGCCCAACTCTCACTCCTCGCAGCACGTCCCTGGTGTGCTCACTCGGCAAGCCAGAGGCAGTAGAACGCAGGACTCGGATGCGCGTCGGGATCCAATATCCTCTCACAGTCATCATCCCGAGACGCCCCGTTCGACTCGGGGCCCTGCCTTAAGAGGGCTTGAGGTTGGTCTTTTTCTTTGATCATGAACAGGAGAAACACCTTTCATTTATCACTGCAACATGGAAAGGAACAGGCAGAGTGGCGTAGCGGTACGCGTCGGTATTAGATTTGATAGTCGCCGAACTGAATAAATCCGAGGTACCTCGTTCGAATCGAGGCTTTGCCTTACACTCTAAAGATGCTGTCTTTTTCTTCCGGCAAGGAAGAAAACACTTTCATTCAAGCTTCTAAAACACGGCAAGAAGAGGCGGAGAGGTGTAGGGTGCGCGTCGGGAATCGGGATCCAATATCCTCTCACAGTCATCATCCCGAGATGCCCCGTTCGACAGCGACTCGGCTCTGCCTTACTCTCGATTTCGAAAATCCTTTGTCTTTTGGTTCGTGCAGGGAAGATTGAATGGCTGTCATTTAACCTCTAAAATAAACCACGGAGAGAAAACTTTTCTCTCCGTGGTTTAGGAGAGCTGTACTAGTAGGGTGCGCGTCGTCGGGATCCAGTATTCGATAAGTCAACCCGAGATTGTGATATACTGTACTATTACGACCAAAGGTTCAGCTTCCGCCTCACAGAGGCCTAATCCAAGTCATCTTAATTTTATTTCCTCCTCCCTTTATTATATCATATCAGTGGCTGTGACATTTGAACCCGTTTGGCGCCGGCGGCCCGGCAGGAAGTTTCGGCATTTCGGCATACTGACCACGACCTGCGCCACCGTGACGCTGTGGAGTGCCGTAGCGAGTGTGAACGCGGACTCCGAATCCCTGCAGCTGGATTCTTCTTCACATGAACACCAACCACACACGGCCGGCCGCTGACTTGGGTACTGGTAACTGGTAGACGAAGCGCCCACAAGCTCTTCGGCCCATCTGGTTACATGCATGGCTTCCAAATAAAACGCAAGCGCGCGCCGGTTGCCACTGATTCAAGTTCATGGCAGGCCGTAGTTTCAACCTCGCACCTCGCATCGTGGTCCCGGGTTCACTGCCTCGATGGCGAGTTACAGTAATTGTACGGCCAAGTTTCGACGTTTCTCAACAGACCGACCGTCTTCTTGGATTTGCATGCGTCTCCTCGGACTTCTGGATTCCAAAGTTGTTAAACGTTACGATCGCGTTGCCTCGCGGCGATCCAGGAATACCTCCCAATAAGTCCAATTGTGTGCTGGAATGCATCCACGACACGACAGCCTGTGCACGGCGACATTCTGCCGTGATTTTCCCTGACATGCGGAAGTAAGTGTTCTATTCACGCCGCGGCTGTGTTCACCAAATTCAAGTTCCCTGCTCACTGGAGTCCTTCGGCCAACTCACAATGGCCATAGAAATTCAGAGGGACGTTTCGTTGGGAACGTTGGATTTTCGCCAGCGGAACGGGAGGGAATGGCGGGAAAGAAATAAGTGCGATTCAGGTGACTCATCGCTCATCATTCACGTCCTGCATCGCTTTTCGGCGGAGTCTTTGTCTTCTACTCGTGCTGCTGCTGTTACTTCCTTCCTATATTGACTCCCTGCATCCCTCCCTTCACGCACTCATGAATCCAATGTGGAACGGCGGCATGCCGCCTCTAGTCCACCAACATTCCGGACGCATGATTCCTCCCCCTGCAGACGCAGCCTATGGCGGACAGCCGGAATTCCACGCGGCCTTCCCCGCGTTCCAACAGCAGCAGCAGCAGCAGCAGTGCGTATCCCTTCCTGTACTACGGCAAGTTTAGCTCCAACAACAAGCCAGGTGGCCAGGCGCGCAGGGGACACCCTGGGGTAATGGCGGCGGCGCGCCGTGGCCCAACGCCACGCCCGGCCCGTCGTGGGCCAACACACCGATGCAGCAGCAGCCCTCCCGTGGCAGCAGCAGCAGCACACGCCGCCCGGCTGGGCACAGGCGCAGCCCGTCATGCCGCGGCAGGGCTGGGGCCCCGCGCCGCAGGGCACGCCCGCGCCGTGGGGCGGGAACTCCGGCCCCCCGACGCCGTGGGACACCTGGGGCCAGCACGCGCCCCCGCAGCACCCGGACGGGTTCAGCGCGATGGCCGCGCCGCCGCAGGAGTCGTCCTCCGGCCAGCCGATCGGGGCGTCGTTTTTTAACGGCGGCGGCGGCGGCGGGGGCGGGGGCAGGCGCGGCATGTCGAGGGAGGCACTGGAGGAGCTGGGGTGGGACGACGGCGACGACGACCCGTGGGGTGACCCGCGGGAGCGGGAGCGGGAGACGTGGGGACAGGCGCCGGAGGCGTGGGGTCGAGGCCAGGATCCGCGCATGGCGGAGCGCCCCCCGCAGTGGGCGAACTGGGGACCGCAGGGGCACGACCCGCGCGCTTTGGGACACGACCCGCGCGATCCACGCCCGACATGGGACCACGACCCCCGCACAGCAACAGCATGGGAGCACGACCCCCGCGCCGCCGCCGCGTGGCACGACGGCGGCGGCGCGGAGCTCATGCGCACGCACTCGCAGGGGCAGCCGCGCTCGCCCGGTATGAAGAAGAAGCGGTCGTCGTCGTCGAAGCGGCGCCGCGCGGCGTCCTTCTCCGGCGGGCAGCCCCAGCCGCAGGGCGGGTGGGGCATCCCCGCGACGTTCGACGAGAACAACCTCTCGCGCCGGCCCGAGGACTGGCGGGACGGGTACTCCCCGCGCGGGATCTCTGGCGCGGATATCTCGTTCTCGTCCCTTTTCCGGGTGGGGAAGAAGGCGGATTTGAACGGTACGCACTTCCGTCCCTTCACAATCTGCTCTGCGTTGATTCTGACTTGCGTCCGCGTCTCGCCTGACTTTGCGTTCTGACTCCTCGCAGGCTGGCCAGACGACACCAAAAAACGCACCCTCGCGCCGGTCCTCACGTATAACGCGTCCCGCCCGAACATCAGCTACGACCTGCGCAGGTCCCCCGAGGACACGCAGTTCATGGGGAACTTCCAGCCGCGGAGCCAGCGCGAGATGGTGCAGCCTGCGGTTACGCCGCCGACCGTGCGTCCTTCCTCCCCGTTCCTTTCCTTTTTATCCCACCATTCCACCAACCACCGTCTTCTCCTCCTTCCTTCTTCCTCATCCTTACTTGCTTCTCCATCCTTACTTGCTTCTCACCCCCTGCACACGCACAGGTAAGGATGCGCCTCCTGCACCCGCGCCTCCCGTGGTACGTCGACGTCCTCGCGCCCTTCCCCCCCACGCACGCCTCCCCCTTCCCCCCACGCACGCCTCCCCCTTCCCCCACCCCCCCGCGCCAGCCCCGGGCTACGTCACCCTGCACGACCTCCTGCACCAGCTCTTCCTCGCGCTCGACACGCCCATCGCCGCGCGCGACTTTTGGAACGACGAGCTCGGGCGGCGCGAGCGCGAGGGGCTCACCCGCGCTTTCAAGGAGAGGTGTGCGACGAAGGGGGAGTGGGCGCGGGAGGAGCGGATGAAGGGCGTGAAACGGTAAGTGATCACTTCACTTCGTTGCCCGGCGCCATATTTTTATGTCATTTTATTCTGACTGACTGACGGTGGTTTTTTTTGACAGGGTGGATTTTTTGGGCGTGGGGTGTGTGTTTGTGGGGTTGGTGAGGAGGGGGGGGTGTGGGAGATTAAGACGGAGAGTAATCATTGACTGACCGCATTTCTTTTTTTTTTTCAATCGGTGACGAAAGACTTGTTTGAATTGGTGAGTAGGCTTTCTGCCTTTTGAGTTCGGAGGACCCCAGCTCATCTTGGCGTAGCGCTAACTGACCGACTGTATTTATCTATCCGGATCTCCTTTTCGTCTCACTCACTCACCCAAATCATCTCGAATCATCCATCCGTGCTTTATTGGAATGGAACTCAAGCCCTGTCGTGCTCGTGCGTTTCCGTCCCTTTCCCTTCCAGTACCTACCTACCTACTACTCACTCATACTCAGTCGTGCCATGGCGCAGTGTATCACCTACCCTCTTACGCACCCCTCCGAGTCTTACGCCAGCATCGTCTACCTACCCCTCCAAGTCTTACGCCCCGCATCGTCGTCTCGAGAGTCGCAAGCTATTGCTATTTAGAAGCTGTCGTTGCTTGATCTCACTCACTGTACTTCATCTGATCTGTGTGTATACATCTGTATTGGATTGGAAAATCTATCGTCTCTCTCGAGGACGGACGACGGCGGTGGTTCAGGCCAAGGACGATGCGCTGGCAGGATTTGGGGGATGCTGTGCTACCACGTGTACCCGCCTCTATCAGCTTTCAGGTCGCATCTATCAGGCTGAGGCGGGCGCCTAAGTTACAAGTAAATCATCTTGTAAATCATAATGATACAGCCAGCCTTTACTTTACGTCGCGCCCCACTTCCCACTTTCCGGATGATTCTATTCTATTTTTTTGTTTTTATTCTTCAAGCTTCTACAGAAACACCCGAATAAACTGTAACAAACCCCTCCTCCGTCCGAGGCCCCTCCTGAGTCCTGGATCCCAGACGAACCACATGCTTGAGTGATTAGAATTTAGGGCCCGCTGATAATTGGGTCTTGGCGAAGAATAATTAATTGACAATTGACAATTGACAATTGTCAGTGACTGACAGGATGACAAGTAACAATCTGATAATATTACCAAAAATGTGCAAAGAAAATCAAGAAAGCTATATGTACAGCGGCTGAGTACTTGGTGACGACTGCCACCCGTCCAACCCAATCCCAACTGACGTCAGACAATTCACCCATCGAGTCGCACGGTTCTGGCTCAGAACCTCCAAGTTGCTCAAGTCCTCCAGAATCTTGTCTTTGCCATCAACGAGCATTGCTTGATGGCCCAGCAAATTGGGATTCACGTCCTTATCCATGACGAAAGGGGTGTATGAGGGATTTGCCAACTTTTTCCTTTTTTTTGGGGAGAGAGCTTCTTATTTGCCTGAATTGCTTCAATCCTCTGCAAAGAGTGTGCAAATTTTAAAACAAATTTCATATCAGGCCTTGAAAGCTAAGTTGAAAAGTCTTTTGAATTGTACGATAATCACCTCAACCGACATGGGGAACTCATTAGATGTCACCAGCACCAAAGGGTCTGCTGCAGTTGTGTTGCAATCAGTTTTCACATAAAGGAATAAAGCGGAAACTCACTGTTGTTGTGTGTCTTTATGTACATGGTCATTGGCAACGTCAACAACGAAGCACTAGAACCAAAAATAGTTTCTAACAGCTTGTAAATAAGTCACAAAATC